TATGTATAGTTATGGTACCACGACGTTTAAGTGTTGATATTTTTTTTGCCATTTTGAGCACCGTTTTCAAAATAGAGAAAATTCTAAGTCTGAAAAACCGAAACTCCGAAAATTCTAACCGAAAACTGAAAGCTGAAAATTTCAAACTTGTTTTGTTATCTGAGGTTCCAAGTTTATGAATTTCGATGAAAATTTGTGTTTCCTAAGCCATTATCAAAATTTTAAAATATGTCTTTCCTCTCGAGATAGATCTAATGGCAATGCACACTGCCTAAAAATAAAAATTAAAAGAAACGAAAAAAAAAATAAACAAGGGCAATTTAACTTCACAGTATCTCGTATTTATTAAATTTGTTTTGGTAACATTAACAAAAAAAATGGTTCGTAGTATTTTTAACACTTTATTTTGTTTGCAGGGGATTCATATTTTCTATAAAAACCGAAATTTCTAAACATGGATCAAATGTTTTATTTTCAGAAAATTTTTCGAACAAACTTTATATTGGTGTGTTAAATTTTAATAAGTCCCTCGCAAAAAATTTGCTTATAGTAGAAATATATGATATGAAAAATTAAGCTCCAAATTTTTATTTTGTATTCGTAACTGTATAAGCAAACTCACCGAGAAATTGTTTTAAATGTATCGGGAACACTTTGTTATTTAGAACTTTCTTTTTGCTACATTTGTATCCCTCATCAACCCCATTAAAACAAACATCTTGCTTTCATTGCTTACTTGTACGAAATTAAATAAATCAATAAAAGTGAAATTTATTACTTTACTAATAGCTAATATGAGATTTTAATGATTTTTTAAAAATTTAATTTATAATTTCTTTTTAAACGTTTTTCATTTGCAAAAAAGTATTATAAATAATAACAAATCAACAAAAGCGAAAGCATTTTATCTTTATCAAGTGGTTAGATCGACTCGGTTATTAAATCTATGATAAAAGAAGAAAAGTGATTATAAAAATCCTTCAAGAAGTTATGAATTCTCTGAACACTTAAAAAACTTTTGAATTATCCATGCTAGAGAAGAATAAAACAATTGAGTAAGGTATAATCTTTATGTAATTGTTATTGTCGGAAAACTCATATTTAATCACTTAAAATTACTAATTAATGTTTTATAACGAGTAAAATTGAAATGGTACGCGTTTCAATAAATATGAAACAAAATTAGAAATAATAACTTAATAAATATTATGTTCCTAACGGTAAAGGCAGGTTTTACGACGGCTACAGTATAGCTCTATACTAAACATTTTTATAAGAAGTACGTAGTTCTTAAATTTTATTTAAAATTTCTTATGAAAGGGAAAAAAATTCTAAAACTCTCTCCAAAATATTAATAATTAAATAATAAAAATAAAATATTTTCTTTATTTAATTCAAAATAAGATTAAGTGTTTTTGAATAACTAAATATAATGCAAGCAATTAAGTTTACATCTAACAATTAGTAATAAAATGGTTTATATAAGTGGTGTAATGTAAAGTTTAATGTGAGGTCTATACAATGCATTATTTAGAGAAATTTTTTTTACAAAATTGTAATAGAGTTTCGTGAGTATATTACCTTTCATTTAAACCGCAGAAGTTAGTAGTTAGAAGTTAGGCATAGTTACACTTTAATGGGCTATTCATTTCCAGTAATTGTATATAACTTTTTTTTGATAAGTGAGAGTATTTTAAGAAAGCGAATAAATAAATTCAATTTAATTTTTTTAAATGCTTTTTACCACCCAGCAGGGCTATTATAAACAAGGAAATAATGTAATGATATTTACTCCTTTTAATTTATAAAAAAAATTCGAAAATAATATAAACATATGTTTATAAATTATTCATTTGCAAATAGATGGAAGCACAAGTTAAAAGCAGTTAAATAATTTACAGTGTACTTTTTAAAACTGATGAAATTGGTGATAAATATACTAGACAAGGACATTGCAAGGATTTAAATAAGATCTTTCAAAGCTGAATCAAACTCAATTAGCTAACTAATGTTCAAAAATATTTATGAAGAACAACATTGCTTAGCTGTAATTATTTCTTTGTTGTTCATCAAGCTTAAATAAATTGCTATTTCCACTTGAAATATTTGTGCTATAATAAATATATAAAGTTTAGATTTGTCAAACTATCCTCTATAAGTATAGTTTTTAATCAACTAATATATTTTAACTCATATTTTAGTAAAATTGAACAGTATAATAATTAAATTAGCTAGCATGATATTAGCATTCATCATAATTTTAAGAAAGTTACTGAGGTTGTGGCAACTTTAATTACTGTTGACATTACGCTGACCTGATTTGTATATATTGTTAAATTTAATAAAGTTAAAAAAAATTTAATAACATAATTTCTTTGCGCAGTAGATATGGTAGATTTGGTCAACCTTACGGAAAATATCATTTGGGTTGCGAACAATCTATTTGGGTTTCAGTAATTTTGAACGATATTGAGATTTTGTTTTACTATTATGGAACAGTATGACTAGTTCGTTTATTTTTTGATTTGTTCGTTTATTTTTTTAGGTCTTATACTATATAAATATAAAGCCTTCTAATGAAAGATATTTTACGCACTAAAATAAATTATAATCTCAATATTCACTAGAATTTTTTGCTGTTTATATGTTAAGCATACCTCTAAGCTAAAAATACTTAATAAAATAGTTTTAAGAAATTAGTAAGCGTTAGTTTCTCATATTTTTTAAAGTAAAGCATTCACAAAAAATAGATTTAACAAAGTAAAAAAAAAATTTAAAAGCAATTTTTCTACTACACGCATCAGTTTTCAATTCAGTTGTTTTAAACTTGTTAGAATGCCCCATTGTTAGATTGCATGATTTGACTTACCGAAATTTATATAGGCTAAACATAAGTATCAATATATTTTAAAAGGATTTTTTTAACAACTTTTTACATAGCAGAATAAATTGTATATGAAATAACGTTGTTAAACAAAAAGGATTTGGATAGATTAGAGATTAAATCTTCAATTCACGAGTGATTTATATTTTAACTAACAAAACGTAAAGCAATTCGATATGCCTGGGAGACGAAAAAAGTTAATCTCTCCTTTTATTATTATCTGTAATTTTCCCGAACCTTCATAATTTCGATCTTCCACATCTGAAGTCCAGAAATATTGAAAGATAGTGAAGAAAAGAGAGCAATTCCACTGTTTTTCTAATGGCTTATTCGTTAAATGCGGAATTCAAAATATAATAACTATAATTCCTTTGGGTGACCTACCAATCCGGATGCTAGTGGAAAAAAATAACTTCAAGATATTGCTGTCTTAATAATGAGAGATGCAGTTAACGGTTCTTCAAAGTCTAGGATTGTATCGGCGTTACGCTCGAATGGATATAGAACGTTTTCAGATTCCTTAAGTCGTTGTTCACATTTGAATATAGACATAAATCGACCGGCCAAAAAATTAACTTTTTAATTTAACCTGGCATATTTTTCCATTCGAGAATTTATTACATGCGAATTACAATGCGAATTCTCACAAATTGCGATAAAAATGAAAAAAAGGTTTAAGCAATAATTTATAACTTTCAGTTTATTGAATGAGTGAAGAACGATTTTAGAGTCTTAATGTTGTATTGTTTGATTTGATTATAGTGAATATCATTAGAAATTGACTCGCCAAAGATTAGCTTTTTGATTACACCTCCACGATATATTTTCCCATTCATGAATTCATTACGATGAAATTCAATTCATAAATTCAATTGCTGTAAAAATGAAAGAGGTTTAAAAATGTAATATATAATTTAAATTTTTTCGAATGAAATTTTTTTCCCTCTAGATTCTTTAAGTCTTGTTAATTTCAGCACCACGAATACGTACAGAAATTAATTTAAAAAAATACCCATTGATTTCCTCCGATATATTTTTCCATTCATGAATTCATTACATCTAATGCTATTTCGCACAAATTGCAATGAAAATGAAATAGGTATAAAAATAATAACTTATAACTTTTTTGAATGAAAAGTTCTTCAATTTGTTGTTAATTTGAATACTTGGAAAATAGATAGAAATTGGCAGTTAAAAATTAACCTCTGATTTCATCTGGCATGTTTTTTATTTTATGAATTCATTACATACTTTGCAGTTTCACAGATATTGTCATAAAAATGATATATATAAAATGATATTTTGTAATTGAACATTGTTTTTAATGTATAACAAATGAGAAAATGTTACTACTTTTATGAAATATAACATTTGTTGATTGCATTAACCTCTTAATAAAATGTGTCTCAAACATGCAATGCATTAAAAAATTCTTTCTAAAAAGCGAAACTTTAATCCTTAATATTTTTCTCTGTATAGCTGATTGTTTTTGAAATAAAAAAAATCTTGTTTAATCTATCAGCTTAAGAGAATAAAATTTTAATTATTATAGATAATGCAAGCAATATGATATTTTAGTTGTTGATAATTTTTTTTAGATCATCGTGGGACTTAAAGCGACAAAAAACCCCTTTGTTAATAAAAAAAAATAAAATTAAATTTTCAGTTTTGAGTAATTTTGTTCGAGCATTAAATGCTTTAACTTGTCATTATTTAAAGAATTGGGGCAGAATGATTATAAGCCCCGGTTTCATGCTTTTCAGGCGAGTGTTTTTGAAGAAAAAGTACCGAGATTTATATGCTACCAATATAATATTTCAGTGTGCTGTGCTCTTATCTGATAAAAAATTTAGAAGTACGTGAAGTACTTATCTACAAATAATACTTAGGAACAGTTTTGTGAAAGTTTTTATTTTTGCAATAAATTTAGTGGATACTGTTAAAGTACTTCATTCTTCTCGCATATATTTTAGTTACTTATTTATTTATGTATTTTTAATGTTCGTTAGAAAGGGAATGGTTTATGAATTAAGTCGAATATATTTTAACATGTTGTTTTATGAATTAAGTCGAATATATTTTAACATGAATATATTTCTTCTTTCTTTTATTGCAGATTGTTCTCTAAGTATGACGGAACAACTAAACGGCCACTATACTCAGATAAATGAAGAAAATAGATCCTCACAAGAAGTCATATCAACAGCAGAATCGTCTGTAATTCACAATAAAACTAAGGAAATATCCACCGTTGCCAAAACACAACGAAAAAAAGTATCCTTTCACGAAAACGTGACTGACATCGACGACGAAAACGAATCGTCTGCTTTTGAAAATGGAGATAATCTTGAAGACATTGAAGTGGAGGAGACGAATTTAGAAGAAATTCTAAATGTTAGCGAAAAGATTAACTTTTTCAAGACTGCTTTCGCTAATGGATCTCAAACAAAAGATGATAATGGAATCAAGTCGCTTGGTCACCAGAGTTCGATTCCGGAGGCTAGATTGGCTTTTGTTACGGGAATGGTCGACAGCTCGTCAACAGGAAATAATTCGCGTGTCAACAACTGTGGCGGCATTCGTGTTGAGTCTAATGTGACGATAGACTCAGAAAATGTGGCACAAAAAGATGAAGGAGATATTGAACTGAAAACGGAAACCTCTGAAACTAATTTCGTCCAAGTCCCAACTTCTCCAGAAGACGTTTCAGAAAGTGCGACTGAGTCCAACATGGCTGCGACTCAAGTGACTTTCATGAAAATATTTGCTACTCCGAAAAGTCGGCACAATATGATTGAAGGTGAGTGCCTAATCTAAATTATTAAAGATTATAAGTCGAAGTGCTTTTTCTGTATTCATTGATCTGTGTTTAGATTCAAAATTACTCTAAAGAACAAAACTTTATTTTGCTAATTTGACACCAGAATTTAAGAGTCTAGGGGAAGAAAATGTTGAATGATAATCAGGGGCGGATCCAGAAATTTTTCCTAGGGAGGGTCATAAACTCAGATTCCCCCCTCCCCACAATAAATTTTTTTTTATAGAAAAGAAATTTTTTAAGCATTTTTTTGAAAAAAAAAAAACTGGGGTTTTTAATGCTAGTCTTCATTTCTTCTTTTCATAATGAACAAAACAATACATAAATAATATTCAATACATAAAAAGTATTCAATACATAAACAGTATTCAAAATCTTTAAATAATAAATGTAGTGAGTTTTTTAGAAACTTTTTCAAATCTGTCAATGTTTTTTTCAACATCCAAATCAATTTCTCGATGAATGTTTAATAATGCGAGTCCATTTAATCGTTCTCGATTTTGAGTTGCTCTAAGCCAAGTTTTGAGACGTCGAAGAGTTGAAAAGGAACGTTCTGCTGTTGCTGCACTAACTGGTAGAGTTATTAAATTTCTCAACAACATATTGATTGATGGGTACAAATCGATGTCACAGGCATTAATAATCTTGGAAAGATCGTTGGGCACTTCAAGTCCTGCTTACAAGTCTTGAAATAGTGAAGAACATAATTAGATGGAAGAAAAATCGATTTTTCCGAACTACATTGTATATGCCCCCTTAAATAATTTTTGAAATATTTTATTTCTTTTGTAAACTATTAAAAAAATTATTATTCTTTTTTTCTTTTTTTCAATTTGGGGGAGGGGGTCAAGACCCCTATGACCCCCCCCCCCGCGCTGGATCCGCCACTGATGATAATTGAAAGTGCACGAATTTCCAATTTTAAGAATATGTTATTATAATCTGTAAGTACAAAATCTCAGAAAAAACAGTTCGACGTTGAACCATGAACCATTCATGTGCAATAATATCGTGTCTGGTGATTGGCTGGCGAGTGTAAATTGCGAGTGTAAATCAACTGGCGAGTGTAAATTGAATTTAATGAATTAAATACTGAATTGAATATGATATTTAAAATTGGCACCTTTTAATGATTGCAGCAGATTTGAATGTTGAAGTGTATGTCTCAATCTTCCTTTATTTAGATTTTGATTTTAAAACAATCATATCTGCGAATATATGTAAGATGTGCATCATATTCCCTCAAAAAAGCAAGATTTTCCTTCCTTCAAAACGTGTTTTAGTTTCATTTATAATATTTGAGTTTTATTGACACTGAGGTTGCAAAATAAAAAAACTAGCACAAAGAAATGAAAAATGGTGGAGAGATTTTCAACGAGGCTTATTTGAGACGTTTGGAATGAAAATCAATTCAATTTACTTCTTTTTAAAATCACCTTTNTGCCCCCCCCCCCCGCCCTGGATCCGCCACTGATGGTAATTGAAAGTGCACGAATTTCCAACTTTAAGAATATGTTATTATAATCTGTAAGTACAAAATCTCAGAAAAAACAGTTCGACGTTGAACCATGAACCATTCATGTGCAATAATATCGTGTCTGGTGATTGGCTGGCGAGTGTAAATTGCGAGTGTAAATCAACTGGCGAGTGTAAATTGAATTTAATGAATTAAATACTGAATTGAATATGATATTTAAAATTGGCACCTTTTAATGATTGCAGCAGATTTGAATGTTGAAGTGTATGTCTCAATCTTCCTTTATTTAGATTTTGATTTTAAAACAATCATATCTGCGAATATATGTAAGATGTGCATCATATTCCCTCAAAAAAGCAAGATTTTCCTTCCTTCAAAACGTGTTTTAGTTTCATTTATAATATTTGAGTTTTATTGACACTGAGGTTGCAAAATAAAAAAACTAGCACAAAGAAATGAAAAATGGTGGAGAGATTTTCAACGAGGCTTATTTGAGACGTTTGGAATGAAAATCAATTCAATTTACTTCTTTTTAAAATCACCTTTGCTTTCTATGCCTATTAAAATCTCTGACCAAAATAGATTTAATCTTGCAAAATGTCTCGATAAAACTTGCCATGAATGTTAGCTATTTTTTTAAGCCTTTAGAAAAATCATTTTCACACGGAGAAAAAAATTCTGGTAAAATGACCAAGCTGTAATGATATTTCAGGCAACAAAACTAACTAAAATATACGGTATTTAAATCATTTATTAGTTATATTTTTACTTCATTTAGTTACAGTTTACCTGCAATTCTGTTTTTCAAATTCTGGATCTTAATACTGCATATTTTGTTAAAAATACGAAACCAAAAAGTAATGCTTTTATGCAAAGATATCATGATGAAATTACCAAAATATTATCTCAACTTCTTAAACCACATTTTATTACAAATTTTACCAAACTCATTACTAAAGCACTTCAGTGAAATTTACCGAGATTTTTGGTGTTTCCAGAGAGCAGAAACACGATAAATGTTCTGGTAGTTTTGATTATACTTTTTTTTCACTGCGCAAACTATAATATCGTGCATATTTAATTGATACTTTTACAAGGTGTCAAATTGAACCCCGTCTCTATTCAAATTGTACCATAGTATCGAAGAAGGAAGCTTAAGGAATACGATATTTTTGTTGAACATGCTCCAAATTTTTTTTAGCGGGGGACTCCTCCTTGCTAAGTTTCTGAAAATGGATGCTAAACGTCTTACATAAAACATAGACTATGCATAATTTCACTATATTCCTGGTTACATAAAAGACTTTATTTAAACAGTCGTCTGACTCCATTTTTGTTCATTTAGCAAAACAGAGCCTAATAGTCTAACGAGTGTATTCTTTCTCCCATTTTTTGACTTTTAATGTTTATTGCTTGGTGATAGAATTGTACATGTTTTAAGGTAAGACAGAAATGACTTGTATGAAAATTAAACTCGGAAGATAACTCTATTTTTCAAAAACCACTTATTGAATATAGTTGGATAACTATATCAAATACCGAGAAATGTGACTTACTTAAGAAATGTGCAATATATTATGTTTATTAAATTTGAATAATTTAGAAAAAAGTATTCTCTGAAAGTTAGAGAAAATTATTTTTTCATGCAAAACATATTAATTAAATTAGTATTCTTACTTCAAAGTTATGTTTTGAGGGGGGAACGTGGAACAATGGGGTTCATTTTTAAAAAAAAATTTTAATTGTAACTTTGACAGTAATCGAAGAGAGTTAATAATCGAAAAGTTACTCTAAGCTTTCGACATCACACTAAAATTAATCCAGTTCTCATAAAATCAATATGCGCTACTGAGAAAATAATAAGATAGCTCTTGTCAAAGTATCTTCAAAGTAATAATAGTAAGGGAGAGTGGGGTCAATTGTAACATTTTTTACTTAACTATTTTTAACTACCAAAAAATCCAATATATTATTACTATTAATTGACAGACGAGTAAAATAGATTGTCCTCTACTAGAAAAATAAATAAATACCTTATTTTAAATGTTATTATATTTGTTATTAACAATTTTTGACAATCCTGCACTTGTTACAACTATACTTGTTACAACTGCACTTGTTACAACTTGTTACAAATACAAGTGCACTTGTTGTGCACTTGTATTTTACCACTTACGGGGTCAATTGTAACAGTTCATAAATTCAACTAAAACATAGTTAATTATACATATTCTGATTAAAAAACTTAAAATTTTTATTGATCAAAATAGTAGTGATATTTTAGGAGTAAAAATAATAATGAGCAGAGACCTAAAGGGTTAAACTTTTAACTTTAAGGGGTTAAAAATTTTAATTTATGCTGTGAAAGGTGACAAATAAAATAATGCACATGCAACATAATATAAATGATATAGGAAACTATTGGTGGTTCTTAAAGAGTTAAGTAATGGTTTGTAAACATAAGATTATTTATTTTCAGCTGTTACAATCGTCCCTTTACTTATTGTTACAATTGTCCCCAAGACGCCATTTCAGCTTCATTTGTTAAAAACAATGCTAGTTAATTAGCAAAACTAATCTTTTTTTTATTGAAATGTTAATTAAGGTGTCCACTTACATATTCGGTTACTAATTTTTATTTGTTTAAACAAAATTACTTTGTTACAATATAATATTCTAATACCAAAAAAAGTACTTGCGTGGCGTGAAAATATCTTTTGTGATGTAACTCTTTCAAAAGTACATAAAAATGGTTGCCAGCAGGGGTGTACATGTAGATTTATTAAATACACCTTATGCTCTACCTAGGAACCAAATCTAGAACCCGACACTCGAAATTTTTGCTCTGTTACAATCGTACCCTGTTACAATTGACCCCACTCTCCCCTACCGAGAGTCAGATTGATGGCCGGCAATAATGATAAGTAGAAACATAAATATACGAAGGTTTTAATCTCTCATAAACTTATTAAATGTTTTTCTTCAATAATTATAGCAAAAACATTCGTTTAGATAAACTACATTTTCCAAATTTGTATAAAAATATGCATTTACTTACTTTAAAAATTTAATTATTAGTGTTATGCGATCTTTTTGGGGCTTATGTTTTGGAATTTAGTAGAAAAAATAAATTAAATCATCCAGATTTCTTATATTTTCTTGAAATCTTGTATGGAAAATCCATTTGGAAAACCTTCTCAAATAAGAACTCTTTAGAAGTCAAAACCACACTAAAACAAGCAAGAGTTTACTGAAAAATAATGTTGCATGGCTTTTAAGTGAATTTGAAGAAATGAGTTTTTAAATGCATCGAAACAGTTTACTAAACATAAGATTCGTAAACGACTTCATTTAATACTCTTAAAATTTTGTCTGAAGTGTACTTCCATTGAGTTCCTCTACTTCATTAAAAAACTTTAATTTCAATTATTATATGGCCAGCATCATGTCGGGGGACTTGGAATATTGTTTCCTAACAAATAAAATAACCAACGATACATAATAT